AGTCGGAACTAGGGGTGTGATACAAAAATGCCACAAGTATAGGAAACAAATGGCCCGAACTAAGAGCACGGGCAAGCCAAGATGACGTGATAATAATCACAGAATCATGGCTGCGACCTAGTGACGACATCAGTAACATGAGTCCACCCAACTATATCCCCAGCAGAGTGGATCGCCAGGATGTATCGGCCGGAGGGCGAGTACTGATACTCGTAGCTGCTCACCACGGCCAACGTGAAGGGCGTCAGCACAACACCCCGAATGTACAAGCAGTGGAGGTGATTGTACAAATTGAGCAACACCGGCTCTCCGTCATCGGTGTCTACAGGAGCCCGTCGGCCACCATAGAGGTGAATCAGATACTGCTAGAGATGTTAACTGAACAAGCTGAATCTAGTGACCGGACATTGTTAGTAGGAGACTTCAACGCTCCGGAAATCGATTTGAGCACCGAAACGGCCCCACTGGGGACATTCGGGGAAAGGTTACTTGAAATGTTGCATCGTAGGGCCCTGATCCAACATGTGACCGGCGAGATCAGATGGAGGTTCAGGCAAACAGCTTCCACTCTAGACCTAGTGTGCACAAAGTTTCCCAACGAGGTGCGGGGAACTGTTGTAGAAGATCCGTTGGGAAAAGCGACCACGGAGTTATAAGGATGATGAATAAAATGCAGAGACTGCCTGCTTCTTACAAATTTTAGCGTCAGTGGAACAAGATAGACACCGGGGACCTGCAGCGTAGAGCTTGCCGGCTAAACTGGTTGGCTGAGAGTGCTCAAGAAAGTGTGCAAGACCAGTGGGAGCGCGTAGAGGGCAACCTGTTGGAGCTGACCAATCGGGTAACACCCGAAATAAGGGTAAAACGCCGTGGCAAACTGCCCTGGTGGAGGGCGCGTGTCGATAAAGCAATGTGACGCAAAAAGTAGGCATGGCAGCGCTATCGAAGCTCGGGAGGTTTATGCGCTCACGTAAGGTACAAGGTGGTAAAGCGCGGGGCCACTAGAGTCTAGAACGAGTGCAGAAACAGGTACGACGAACGTTTGGCTGTCGACGCCAAATAAAACCCTAAGGCACACTATAATTATGTGCAGTCCAAGAGTACCCTTGGAAAGGAAGTAGGCACGATTGTTTACCAAGACAACCAAAACAAGGCGGACGCTCTCCTCAATTGCTTTCAGGGGGTTTACAGATCAGACGACGGTAGATTAGAGCCTCCCATCGGCAACCATGAGAGAACTGTCATGCTTGACTTGGTGATCCCTGCAGGTGAAGTGCATCGGGTCACAAGGGAGCTCATTCCAACCAAGGCAGCAAGGCCAGATGGCATCCACTCCTCTATCCTGAGACCATTGGCTGACCACTTGGCTGAGCCCTTTGCCAGACTATTCAAGGCCTCCATCGCACAGAATGAACTACCCACGGACTGACTTTTGGCGACAGTTATCCCTATCCACAAGGGGGGAGAACGCAAGTCGTGCTCGAACTATCGCCCAGTCAGCCGGACATCGGTAGTACTGAAAGTCATAGAGAGTGTACTGAGTGCGAGAATCGCTGAACACGTGGTAACCGTAGGTGCATTGACGGCTGACCAACATGGGTTCAGAAGGAGGAAGTCGTGCTTGTCAAACCTCCTCTGTTTTTCTGATGAAGTAAGGTGGCAGGACATTTGGACCCCCGGACCAGTCCCAGCAGATACCCACGGTAACCATTGCCAGAGACCTAGGTGTCCTTGTTAGTTCGGACTTCAAGCCTGGACTCCAGTGCCGAGAGGCAGCAAACCGGGCATTCAGACGT